TGTGAAAATACCTGCCCTTTCTTATTGTTGCTTTTGGGTAGATGCATTAATCGCTCACTGTGCAGACATTAATGTTTAAAGGAATGGAATTCTGTGTTTAAGATTAAGTTGTATTTTTTAGCTAAGGAGTTATACAGAATGACTCATTTGATACTTAGTTCTGGTTCTGTTCTCTCTTTTGCAGATGACATAACATACCAAGTCTATGATGAACAAGGTTTGAAAATATTTCTTAGCCTTAAGTAACCTTTTTGTTTTAAAGTCTCCCCATAATTTGAGTGTAAACTAGGGAGGATGATGGTTTAAGCTGTACATATCATAACTTAAAACTTCTAGAATGGTAGCTTTCAAAGAATCTACTTGTGAAGATTGCTGACCTGTACTAATGATTCCACATTGCCTAGATTATTTCTTAAACTCTTTTAAAAGATTGCCTTAGGAAGTAGTTACCAATTATTCAAGATTTATCTCATTATTTTATAGCTATATCTCTTTTGACTAAAATATGTCTTCTGCTTTAACAACTACTTTAGTAGAATTCAGCTTTTCTAGCTGTTTCTACAACTTAATCCCACCCTCAAATAAATGTCAGTGATCTGACACCATTGAATATGTTCGGAAGAATAGGTTCCAGGTTTAAAGGCAACATGAAGAAAATGGTTCTGGCAAATTTGTGGTGTGAGCAGCATCAGATTCAGATTTAGGCAACGTTATATCCTCTTGTGCCCAACACTTCACATGCTGTTTTGTTGAATGCCATGAATTAGATTGTATTTTCCCTAATTCCAAGATGAGATGTAGATACAGAGACCATAAGTAATTTGTTCAAGATGATCATTTGCTCAAGAAATGATGGAGCCAATGAGGTACCATTGTTGATCCAGTATCTTCAAAGATGAGTTTAGAAGGAAAGAAATCAATTAAGTATAACTTTGGATATAAAGCAAGAAGGATAAGGAGATATGTAGTGATTGGGTCAAATATTGAGGACTTATATGTGCTTGACAGTTTTAGGGTTTGAAATTCCAATATCAATAATATAGGGCTCCTACTTTAAGACATTTGTAGTCTTATGATAGTTGGTAAATCTCAATTCAAGAAAATC